ATTTACAAAATAACGAAAAGTTTGTATGTGTCTCCTCTAGAAATACAGAGCATAAATATGAACAATGTGATGTATGATGATGGGTATTGTTCTCAATTTCATTACGGATTCAACTAAGTTGATCAAAATGGTTCCAAATCCATAATGATAAGATTTTGCATCAGAACTTTGATTATTTAGAGGTTCTAAAGAATCAATTCACTGAATTTGAGGTTCCTATAAAAATAAGATCAATAACATTCAAAGGAGATTTTTCTTTCGAAAATTCTCACTATCAAGCTTCAAAGGTTACAAGTTGTATTTGCTCTCACACACGAAGCTCGATTCTCTTCTTGTAAAAGGTTGGACTTAGATCGAGTTACAAATCAAGTTTAGCCAAAAGACATAAATTATTCACATGTGACTCCCACGCTCTCGTTAGCAAGCCTTCGTGTCCTCTCACTCAAAAATAGTAAGCCTTAAACGGTTACATTATTTATTTGTCTAGTTAATTTAAACATTTCATAATAATTTTTAATAATTGTTAATTTAGCAACAAAAAAAAATTTAATAATTGTTCATTCCTCTACATATATTCGTGGTATCATATTAAATGATTTTTTAGAAAGATTTTTTTGTCTCAAATTAGATGATATTTTAAGTTTTTAAAGTAAAATTAATTATATTTTTGATTCTTCAAATTTTGCAAATTAATTTTTTATTGGTTAAATTGTATTGGAATCGGTGGTTTTATGTTGAAAAATAAAAAAAAATTAAATAATTTTTTAATTTGTGTATAGAAAGTTTAAAAATTATTTAAAATGATATAGAGGGAGTATTAAATTCAATAGTTAAATGTCAATAATTAATAATCGTAAAGGTTAACATCTCAAGGTGGTTTTCCAATATTACACGTCTATACATTAACGCGATAGGCACCTTTTTTGCGTGTGACTTCGATAGGCACCTATTTGAGTGGAAAATTATGATAGATGCATATTATTGTATGTTACTAAAAGACCCCCTTTATCAATTATTAGATCTATTTAGTAATATATTTTATTGTAGATAGATTTCGACCTATGAAGTCACTGAAAACTCTTTTCAGCTGGCAGGGACTTCATCTCAATAATTATATAGG